ACCCAAAAATACTGAAGAAACAAGAATAAATATTCAAATCAGGATAGTGAGTAGCTTGAAGGGGAACTTTGGAGTTGGTTGTGTTCCCATATATCTGCTGCCCTTGTCCCCCTAGATGGTGGTGGTTATGGATTTGGAAGGTACTGTCTAAGGAGCTTTGGTGAACTTTTACGGTGCACCTTGTGGATGTACTCACTGCTTCTCCTGAGCATCGGTTTTGGAGGGAGTGAATGTCCATGGAAGTGGTGTATACACACACGTTGGAAGTTTGAAAGCTTCACAAACTAAAAACCACATCTGCTAGAGTGGCTAGTTGCCCCAAAATGAAAACTTGATTCTTGTGCTGAGAGAAAAATTCTCTCTTCTGAACTGAATTGCTGATTTTTCTGAATTAAAATTCAAAGTTCAACCAATAGCCTTTGATCTGTCATAAACTCAACAGTATAAACATTACAACCAATGACACCACAGGAGTCTTGCCGAGCTCTTGATCAGATTGCATGTCTTCTTGGAAATGATGTATCTAGGTGACTGATCCAAATTACTTTCCGTCCTCCACTTTTAAATTAAATACCTTCACACTGAAACCACATAGCTTCATCTATTTTAAAATTCCAAATCCCCAAAGAATAATAATATATACTGGTGTGTGCATCTTTTATCACAACATTCACAAAAAAGGTTGTTAGTTCTGAAACAAAAGACCCTGCCTGATTCAGCTCTGAGTGGTTTTAAAAAATCAAGCTTTGATACACATTGATGTGTGTTGAGATGTCCAACAATGTTATGTTAAAAGAATAGGGCCTGAATTTAGGGGAGATGCCAGAGTTTGGGGTGGGGTTAGAGTGGTGAAAGGGGAATGGGAGAATTGGGCCTGGGGTCAACCTCATTCCCAGCATGGGGAAAATTGTTTCCAATTTAATTAGCAGGGCGAACACAATGTATGAATCATGTCCACTGGAGGCAAATGACAATTAGACTCGTTAGTGAGCCACTCAATGGCATTTATCCTTGAGTCCACAGGGGTGTAGTCATGGCTCATGGACATAAAAGGTTTTGTACAGGCCTGCCATGGCTCCCAAGCTGTCCAAGAAACCATGTCAGGTTCACCTTTGGCCTCATAATTGCGGAGGGGCAATGTGGGTTGGGGAGGGGGGGGTGGATAATGTGGTCCTTTGTTCAATGCCTAGTTTTAGGAGGAGGCTTGATGTGATGCTGAAAGCAATTTGATCTGCTAGCTTCTGATTTGAAAGCAGCTGTGAAGGCTGGAATTTCTGCCCTGTGGGAGACATGATCGCTTGAGAGACCCAACACTGGCCAGTTAAATGCTTTAGTGTACTTAAGTAGTGTCAGATCTCCCCAAGAACGCATACTTTTCACTGGTTCTCCAATAGTTAGGGGAATATGTATTTCTGGTACTGAATTCTACCCAGGACAGTTTCCATCATGAAGTCTGAGATGATGATACTTGATGACTTGTTTACAGATTATTGTTCAGTTGAACAGACTTCCAGCTGTCAAGAGAACACTCTAATGCCAGGTAAAAGGGGTGGCAAGGGACAAGTCGTACCCTTATACAATTTGGCTACCTTTACTGTGTTGATGTGTAACAGTATGCCCCATGTTTAAGGTGCATACACCATGACTTGGTCTTTCTGGCTGCAATCTTTTTGTAAAAGTTTTGTTTATGGTACTATAATGATCTTTATCTAATTGTCTATGTCTCCATATTTTTGAATGCTTTAGTTATACACATGGATGTGTTATTTTAGGAATCGCATACTTTAGTATCATGTCTCAACTTGATTTGTTCACACAACAAAAAATTAACCATGTTATCCATGTCTGTCTTGATAATTTCAACTAGTTGAAAATATCTTGATAGCCATCTAGAACATTAAAAACCTTAGATACATGGTTTGGTAAGAATTACTACGACTAAAAGTTCACTTACTCCTCAGTGCAATTATTCAATCTTGTACTGGTATGTTTATTGGGTAACTAGTATGTGAATGTGGGGTGAATAGAAAGTTTTCAAGTGACATGAAGATTGGTAGATGGTTAATAGTGAGGAAGAAGTTTTTAGCTTATAGGCAGATATAGATGAGTTGATCAGATGCGCAGATCTGTGGCAAATGGAATTTGATCCTGAAAAGTGTGAGATGATGCACTTTGGAAGAAGTAACAAGAAAAGGGAGTACCCAATGAATGGCAGGACACTAGGAAACTCAGAGGAACAGAGGAAGCTTGGGTACTTGTTCACAGATCATTGAAGGCAGCAAGTCATGACAACAGTGTGACTAGGAAGGCATGCGGGACGCTTGCCTTTATCAGTCATAACATAGATATAAGAGCAGGGAGGTTAAGTTGGATTTGTACAAAACTTTGGTTAGGTCACAGCTGTTGTACTTTATGCATTGCTAGTTGCCACACTATAGGAAGGATGTGATTGCACTGAAGGGGCTGCAGAAGAGATTCACGAGGATGTTGCCGGGATGGAGCATTTTAGCTATAAAGAGAGGCTGGAAAGGTACATTTTCTTTAGAGCGGAATAGGCGGAGGGACGGGGATATAGATTATGAGGTGCATGAACAGGGTGGATTGGAAGCAACAGCCCCCTTTAGTTGAAGTGTCAGTATTGAGGGGCATAATTTTAGGGCAGAAGGTTCAGAGGAGATTTGAAGAAAAGTGATTTAACCCAGAGGGTGGTAGGAATCTGGAATGCTGTGCAAGGTGGTGAGAAACCTCACTTCCATTAAAAGATTCATGGATGGGCCCTTGAAATGCCATAACATTCAAGTGCTGGAAAGTAGGATTGTAAATAGGTTGGTGCTGACTTGATGGGCTGAAGGGTTCTTCTGTGCTGTATGGCTCTGTAATTATAATCAGTCAGTGAGCTATACATATGTGAGGTGAAATATCTCTGCCTTTGGTTGTTAATTTTCTACAGCTAACTGTCAGGTATGAGCTTGATGTAGAAACTTAATTTGTATGGCTTGTAAAAGCATTGCCTCCCAATCCACAAGGAACCAATTTTAAAAAGATGGAATACCAGCTGAGCTACTCAATTATGGAAATTCCACCCGCTGCTTTAGCTCCATCAGCACTCTGCAACTTCTCTGCTGTGGAGAAGGCTGGTCCACAGGATATATGTGATGCAAACAACACTTGTTGTACAAGAACAAAGGCATTTGAGGAGATTGCAACAACTTATGAACATCTCACTTCTCAATGTCACCGGGAAAGTCTTTGCCAGGATCATTCCGATAAGATTCCACTCACCATTGGATAGGATGGATATGGATTCACAGCAGATCGATCTTTGGTAGACATGACCTTCATCTATACATCAGCTTCAAAAGAAGTTCAGAGAACACACTTCGGTTTTGTGAATCTTACAAAAGCATTTGACGCTGTGAGCTGAACAGGCCTGTATCAGGCTCTGGAGAAAAATGGCTGTCATCCCAAGCTTTGCAATTTCAAATGATCCTTCCGTGATAACATGAACAACACCACTCAGCTTGATGGCTGACTGTTTTTAGATTGAGAATTGGGCGAACATAGTTGTTTTCTGACCCTATACTGTTTGATAGCTTTTCCCTCTGCCCTACTGATCTTTACTGCCCTGCTGACATGGATGGAATATATCTCCACATTTAATCAGATAGAAAACTTCATAGGAAGGGTCACTCAACCTGAAACGTTAACTATGATTTCTCCCCACTGATGCTGCCAGACTTAGCTTTTCCAGCAATTTCTGTATTTGTTTCTGATTTACAGCATCCACAGTTCTTTCAGTTTTTATTTAGTCTTGAATGAGACTTAGATGAGGAAAGTGAATGGACGATAGCCAAGTTTGTGGATGACTCAAAGATACATGGGAAGGAAAGTGGTGAGGATGACATAGAGTCTGCAGAAAATATATTCGGGTTAAATGAGTGGACAAAAGACTTGGCAGATGGAATATAAATGTGAGAAAATGTGAGGTTATGCATTTTGGCAGGAAGAATACAGAAGCTGAATATTATTTAAATGGAGAAAAAAACTACAGGAAATTACAGATCAGAGGGATTTGGGAGTCCTTGTCCTTGAATCTCAAACAGCTAACATGTAAGTTCAGCGGGTAATAGGGAATGCAAATGGAATGTTAGCCTTTAATTCAAAGGAAATGGAGTATAAAAGTAGGGAGGTTTACTCAAAACTAAGGCACTAATATGCCTGCAGCTAGAATACTCTGAACAGTTTTGGGCCACTTATCTATGGAAAGATATACTGACATTGGAGGCAATCTAGAGAAGGTTCACAAGACTGATCTGATGGATTGTCTTCTGAGTAAAGGTTGAGTGGGTTGTGCCTGTACTTATTGGATTTTAGAAGAATGAGAGGCAACCTTAATGAATCATACCAGATTCTTACGGGACTTAAGTGGATAGCTGCAGGAAGGTTGTTTCTCCCTGTGGAACTGTCTAAGACCAGAGGCCATAATCCCAGAATGAGGGATTGCCCATTTAGGACAGAAATGAACAGGAATTTCTTCTCTGAGGGTAGCAAGTCTATGGAATTCTTTACCACAGATGGCTATCGAGGCTGGGGTACTCAAGGATGAGGTAGACAGATATTTAACCACTCAGGGAATCTGAGTTTATGGGAAAAGGCAGGAAATTGGACATGAGGATTATCAGTTCAGCCATGATCTCATCGAATGGCTGCATAGACTTGATGGGCAAATGGCCTGCTTCTGCTCCTATGTCTTATGGACTATTGATAATAATTTAAGAAAGAATAATATTCAAGGCTTAAATTAAACAATGACCAATAATTAATGATTAATAAAAATTGTTACTACACTAAAACTCGTGCTCATTACCTGTACATAATGCAACAGGATGATGACAGCAAAAAAAGAAAGGTTTTGGAAAGAGAGAAACAGCAAGGCAAATTGAAGACATTAAAGGCACAGAATGGGAAAGGAGGGAATAAACCAAGGCTGAGACGGTACATGAATATCAACAGAAGTTTAATAGTGCTGCAAAATCACCATATAAATAAATTATTATGAATTAAATAACAAATTTCAAGTAGATTTTTATCTACGCACAGGGTGGTAGGAATCTGGAATTGACTGTCCCATATGGTAGCCGAGGGAGAACACTGAAAATATATAAAATGTATTTGGTTTTTCACTTGAATTGCTGCAACTTACAAAGCCATGGTCCAAGCACCAGTAATTGGGATTAGGCTGAATGGCTGCTTGTTAACTGTTGGGAACAGAATGGGCTGAATAACCTCCTATGTCTATGATTTGATGTTTGATGAAACCAATGCATCAAATCACATCCAAAGGAAAAGATGGAGAACTAAGTATAATGCAAAGTGAAAATGTGTTCATCACAAGAGACGTTTGAGGAATTTTGCTCTGTAAATTTAATTCAGAAATGATAGGCTATAAAGCAGCAACTCAACAGTATATATGGATTGACATGAATTTAAAATAAAATCGATTTGTCTACATATGCAAGAATATCTTTGGTGAGTAGAACATGTCTTTAGATTATGCACTTTATTAGAACAATTCATTATTTAGTTAATAAAGACTCATATTATCAGAGCTATTTATATATTGGAAGATACATATATTTGCTTCCTGCTAGTACGAGGGACACATTGTTCAGTATTGCCATTGGAGTTTGCCAAGTAATTTGACTCACTATCAAAAATGCTTTTGGAACTATTTTGTATTGCTAAATTACTGGATAACTCTTAAAAATGCACTTTTTTTCAAATTCATATCTATATCGGAGCTGCACACAATTGTTCACAACGGAACCTTATGCAGTGATATGGTCCATCCAAACCCAGTGTTCTTTTGGTCCAGTGTTCATTCATCATAATAAGTAGTACTGAAGCCAGTTCATTACTGGGCCACTTCCTTTTGCATTCAGTGCTAGAACTGTGCGAATGCCTGCAAGGATGTCACTGCCTCTGATGTCAATCAAAATAGCTGTTATGTTGAAATCAGTGTACCACTTCTTTTGAAGTGTTCTTTCAGTGCCTTCTCACTGCATTGGCATTGATACCCACCTTATATTCCATTTGTTGCCATTTGATGTAAATACATTTAGCTATTTGTGGACAGTATTACAGAATTGATACCAGTATTTCTGCTTTTAATTTACTGGTGGAAATTTCTTTGTTCCTTGGAGACAGATTTGAGTTGGGGTTTGAGGGAGCTTCACAAAAATCTGCTGACCAAATATGATGTCAAGGACCATGCGGCAACAGAGGAAGGAAATTGAGATCACTAATTTATTTACTAGGCAATTTCTCTGGATATTCAACGTCTTCAAGGATACATAAACCCCACAGTGTTCATAACAGGAGGTGAGTGCGCAGCAAGCGATCCAAGCAAAGTTATAATAACAGTCAGTCTGACTTTTATGTATCAAATCAACAAGTTGGCAACGATCTGCAGGTACAGGCTTGATATTGCATCAGACTGACATGGAGACTGTTATCACAATGAATAGTCATGTTTAAGAAAAGCCATGTAGTATGATCAGCCTCATCTCCCTTTCATGACATTGCTGTCTCATGCCCCAGACTCTTTAACAGTGCTGTCAATTTTGCCACAGTGAAGACTGCACATTGTGGGTATTAGTTGGCCCTTCCACCTCCTCAAACTTGTCAGCTGTCCCTACTGAATGGTAATCTTGGAACAGGGTTTTAACATAAAGTTGAGCTGCTGCTGTGCATAGGGTAGAAATTTGAAAATAATCCCGATGCCTGCACATTTTCAGAGACTGGAGCCCAGTGGATCAGCAAAGGAGCTCACCTGACAACCATTCTTAACACACAAACTTAATTTGGTCATTTTACATAGGCAGTAATCATTATAAAGAAACATTGTAACATAATTGAAGAGACAGGAAGTGCTTATGGATGTGATTTTTAATCTATATTTGCATTTGATCTATGAAGTCATTGTGCAATAAAGTCATTCAAGGGATAAACTCTCATCATCTGCTTTCAGCTTATGAATTTAGGGAGTCAAATAAAGAAGAAACAACATAGTCAGTGGGACTTCCATCAATAAATCCTTTGCCATTGTAGTGAACAAACCAGCATGGGATATTGGTTCCTTGCTTTGGATCAAATCTGTAGTCTTTCTGGTAACCCCTAAAATTAAAATCATCAATAAAATGCATAAGAAATTTACAAACAAGTTACATCTGTTAAATAGAAGACATCGAAAGTGTTAACATTATCTCAGTACAGTAAACATTACCTTGTTACTCTGAGCTTGTGACCTTTTACGATCATTGTTGCATCAGATTTGCCTTCATCTAAACCAGGGCGGATATTATATATCTCAGCATTTACTTCATGGTAAAACTGGCCTGTGTCAAAATAAAGACAAATGAAATTGACTGCAAAGTCACAATAAGTATTAGTATAGTGAGTGCAGGAGAAAATTACTTTATTTACCAGTGAAGATTTATAAGAGATGAATTAATTTCAAGGTTGTTGGTAAATTTTGTAACTGAATCAAGAATGTCACTTTCTCCAGTGAGTAATGCAAGAACTTTAGTGGTAATTTGATTTAGTAAAATATTAATATATGAGTTTGTTAATTTAGTTAAAATTGCACTTAAATAATCATTGGAATAAATATTGACCAAAAATGGCAGTGGGAATATTTATGAGGTTGGAAATTGAAGTAAACTGAACTGAACTAAACCATTCTTTTCATTATGTATTTCACAAATGGGTGAACATTGATGTGAACGTTTAATTTTTTGACTGTGTGTAGTGACACAAGACTGAATACAGTTTTAGTGAAGTATGGGAATTACTGCTCTTAGGACATATATCCTGCAGAAGCATCACTAAATGTGGCACTGGAAAAGAATTGCTTTTTGTTGCAAAGGAATCTGTAAAAAGATTGTACAAGAGCTGTAGTCTTTACATGACAATAGCTTGTAAATATAAAGTAGTTTATTGCATTTTATTGTCCTAAAGTTATTTCACATGGATATCTAAAACAAAAGATGATACAGAGCACCATATGGTAACGCTAGGGCTGAATTATATAGAGAAAAGATAGTATCTAGGAGAAAAGTCAGAAAGCTTTAAGGTGACAATACCAGAGGTTAGGAACCAGGCAGCTAAAGGCACAGCCATCAGTGGTAGCATGTTTAATTTTGAGCAGCTAATGAAGTGAATACTTACCAAGTAATCCATGAGTCATATTTGAGAACCTGCGGCTGTCAAGTGTATAAAATCCCAGAAAGTCTCTGTGCAGAGGATGGTATTTCCAGACCCGATGCAGCACAATAACGAATGTTGCATCATCTCCTATTGTCAGTGTGAGATTCCTTTCTTTCGTAATTGAAATTGAGAAACTAGGAAACAAATATTAGACACAATAAATTATATAGTATCTAAACTTTAATGCACTGAATATTGAATGTATATAAATCATTAAATTATCAATTCTAATAAGCCATTATTAATAATCTTTATATATAACCATAAAGACCCACTTCAAACAGTGGTCTGTGTAACTTTCTCATTCTTCTCCACTGAATTGGGCAAGGATACTGGTTTCATTCTGGTTCTTAGTCTTTTATAAACATATATTTCAAAAGGGAACTGGGATTGCACTGGGAGACCTCAACGTTGACACCAGACTCATGAAATCAGGTGACACCTCCAGTTGGAAAGGAGACACCTGCAAGGAAACCTCTTTTGGATTACCACCTTATACCCACCACCCCCCCACCTCTCTACCTCTCACCTCCTGCCACCAAAAAGGGCAAGAGCACAGAATGTACTCTTGGTGGGAGTTCAATATCCATTACCAAGAGATGCTCAGTTGCACCAATTAAAGAGCTGGCTAAGTCCTAAAAGACACAGTTTCTAGATTATGTTTGCAACACCCGATGATGGAACCAACAAAAGGAACAAAGACTTACTTCATCTCATACTAATCAGTCTAATTGTCATGGATGCATCTGTCCATGACAGTAGGAGTGACCACTGCAGTCCTTCTAGAGATGAAGTCCTGTCTTCACATTGAGAATATGCTCTTTTATGCTGTATGGAACTAGCAGTATGCTAAACTGGGTAGAATTCAAACATATCTGACAAATCAATGAGCATCCATGAGATACGGGTGGGCTATCTGCAACAGCAGAATTGTACTCCAACACAATCTGTAACTACATGGCCTGGCATGTCTGCCAGTCTATCATTGCCATTAGGCTGATGATCAACCCTAGTTCATTGAGGAGTGCAAAGGAGCTTGCCAGGAACTGAACTAAGCACACATAAAAACAAGGTAGACAAACAAGAAGCTGGAAGAACACAGCAAGCCAGGCAGCATCTGGAGGAAAGGAGAAGTGAACATTTCGGGTATTATACCTGGATATACTTGGGAGTGAGCAGAGGTTCACCAGGATGATATCAGGGATGGCAGGACTACCCTATGAAGAAAGATTGATTCAGCTAGGCCTGTATTATACCTAAAATGTTGACTTTGTCTTTCTTGGATTCCAGCATCTGCAGTTTTTTTGTCTCTAATCATACATAAAAACAAGTTGTCAACTTGATGAAGCTACAACACCGGAATTCTTGCATACCAAACAGCGGAAGTAGCATGCAACAGAATTAATTGATTCCATAGCCAACATATCAAAGTAAAAAGGGATCCAGGCATCCTTGAACACCAGTCAATAAAAGCAGGCGGGCAGATGCAACAAGAAAATGGAATGTTCATTGCAAAAGGATTTAATTTCAGAAGTAGAGATGTCTTACTGAAGTTATATGGGGGTGTTGGTGAGATCACACGTGGAGTATTGCATGCAGTTTTGTTCTTCCTACCTAAGAAAAGGTATACTTCGGATCGAAAGGTTCACACCAGGCTGATACCAGGGATGGCAGGACTGCCCAATGAAGAAAGATTGATTCAACTGGGCCTGTATTCACTAGAGTTTAGAAGGATGTGAGTGACTGATTGAAACGTGTACAACATTCTAACAATGTGGGGAAGATGTTTCCCCTGGTTGTGGATTCTAGGTCTAGGAGTCACAGGCGTCTAGGTAGGCCATTTAGGACTGAGACGAGGAAAAATTTCTTCATTCAAAAGGTAGTGGACCTATGAAATTCTCTATGACAGAAGGCTGTGGAGGCCAAGTCACTGAATATATTCAGTGAAAAAATAATTTTTAGATTTCGAAGTTACCAAGGGGTAAGCGGAGAAAACAAGGATGCAACATAGAATCATAGAATCCCTATAGTGTAGGAACAAGCCATTCAGCCCAACAAGTCCACACCACCCCTCGGAAGAGCATTCAACCCAGACCCATTCCCCTATCCCTGCATTTCCCATGTCTAACCCATCTAACCTAATATAAGATCAGCCTTGATCACATTGAATGTCATGGCAGGTTTGAATGGCCTACTCCTGCTCCTAGTTCCTTTGTTTTAATTAGATCAAATCTAAATTCTGTATTCAGGACCTTTTGGACAATTAAACAGATAGCAAGAGGAGTCTCCTAAGATAGCCCATCCTTAATGGGACAGCCAGCAAAAGACAATGCTGAAGCATCAGCATCCATCCTTACCCAGAATCCAAGTGGATTATCCATCTCGGCCTTCTCCTGAGATCACCGTATCACAGCTGTTAGTCTTTAGCCAATTTGATTCACTGCACGTGATATCAAGAAATGGCTGAAGGCACTGAATACTGCAAAGGCTAAGGACCCTGGCAACATTCTGGCAACAGTACTAAAAACATGCTCCAGAAGGAGCTTCACCTCCAACTAAACCATTTCAGTACAGCTATAACACTGGCATAAAACCAGCAACAGGGGATATTGCACAGGCCCTGCACACAAAAAGCAAGGCATATCCAACCTGGCCAATTGCTGCCACCTCAGCAAAGGAAGGATTTGTCAATAGTGCTATAGTGGCACTTGCTCAGTAGCAACCTATACACTCAGTCATTATAGGTTCTGCCACAACCACTCAGCTGCTTTCCTTGTTACAGGCTGTTTGAAAACATGAGCAAAAGAGCTGAAGACAGAGAGCCTTTCCTTAATATCAGTGCAACATTTGACTGAGGTATGACATCAGGGGGTCCTACCAAGACTGAAGTCAACGGAAATTGGGAGTAAAATTTCCACTGGTTGCAGTCAAACCGAGCGCAAGGAAAACAATTGTGTTCTTAAAAGTCAATCTTCTCACCCCCAGGACATAACAACAGGAGTTCCTTGGGATAGACATCTTCTAACCAAACTACTCAGTGATGTTATTACCAACCTGTGGAGAATGCAGGACTTGAAGCTGTGTCTCCTGGCTCAGAGGTAGGAACACTACCACTGTTCCACAAGAGGCCTAGAATTCCTCAGGCTAGTGTTCTGAGCGCAACTATTTTCAGTTGCTTCATCAATTGCTTTATTTCAATCATGAGGTCCGACATGGGTTAGTTGCTAATGATAACACAATGTTCAGCACTGTTATTGACCCCTGAGATACGGAAGCAGCCTGTGTCCATACTCAGCAAGAGCTGGATAACATCCAGCTTGGGCTGATAAGTGGCTAGTAATATTCATACCACATAAGTACTCTGCAGTGACCAACAAGTCTCCAACAAGACTGAATCTGTTTCCCCTTTACATTCAATGGTACTACCGTCACTGAATCCCCCAATAAGAATATCCTGGAGAATTACCATTAGCCAGAAACTGAACCTGACCAGCAATATAAACACAGTGGCTACAACATCAGGTCAATGATGTGGAAGTCTGAGGTGAGTAATTCACTCCTGTCTTCTCAAACCATCTGTCAGCCATCTTCATGACATAAGTCAGGAGGGTGAAGGCATACTTTTCACTTGCCTGGCTGAATGCAGCTCCAACACTCAGGAAGCTCAACACCATCCAGGATACAGCAGCCTACTTGATTGGCATCCCAACCACCACCTCCAATATTCACTCCCTTAATTAATTCTGTGTAATGGCAGCAGTGTGTACCATTTACAAGATATACTGTAGCAGCTGAGAAAGGCTCCTTCAACAACACCAATTAAACATGCAACTTGTACCAGCTAGAAGGACAAAACAGCAGATGCATGGGAACATCACTACCTACAAATAGCCCTTGTGCCAGCTACACACCATCTTGACTTGGAATTATATTTCTGTTCTTTATGTCACTGAGTCACAAGCCTGGAACTCACTCCCTAACAGTACTGTGAGTGTGCTCAAACTCCATGGATTACAAGAGAATCAAGAAGACATTTTGCACTTCCTTTCAGGGGAAATTAGAAATGGACAATAATTGATATTCTAGTCAGTGATGACTATATTCCATGAATGAATATTAAAAAGACAGTATCTGTCTAGTCATTTATATGGGTTGTACACACTAGAGGCCTCAGGACTGATCTTTGTGGCATTCCACAAGTTACAGTCTGCTCACTGGAGAATGTTCCATTTATCCTTACACTCTGCTTCTCCTATTAACTAATTGTCTATCTATGCTAATACATTAAACCCAATGCTGTCCACTCATATCTTGCATATTAGCCTCTTGAATGGCACCTTCTCAGTGACTTTTTGGAAAATGAAGCATACCACATATCACATTTATCTACCTTTCCAGTTACATTCTCAAGAACTTGAATAAATGCATGAAACAGAATTTTGTCAAACTACATTAAATTTGTCTGATCTTCTAAATGCATTGTTCAGATTCCTTAATAATAGATGTGATTAACCTTACTACAGGTTACTGTTACTAACTGTTTATAAATCTTCACTTAAGGTTGCTATTGTAGCAATATTGCTACTCCGTTTTGTTTATGTGATGGTGACATTTTGGTCATTCTTTGTATTTTTGCCGAACTCTTTTCACCACATACAAAATCCACATAGCGCAGATAGAGGCCATTCGGCCCATTCGGTCTGCACCAACCCATCCTATCCCCATAACTCCATATTTTCCATAATTAACCCACCTAGCCTTCATATCCCTGGGCACCACGGGACTATTGAGTATATCCAGTTCACCTGATTTGCACATCTTTGGACTGTAGGCGGAAACTGGAGCAAACTCACACACACATGGGAAGAACATACAAACTCCATTCAGACAGTTGCCCAAGGCTGGAATCAAACCCTGGTCCCTGGCGCTGTGAGGCAGCGTGCTAACTATTGTGCCACAGTGCTAGCCTATAACTAATATAACTTGAAAAATGCAAAGATAAACCAAAAAAGAACTATGTTTATGAAAGTGCATTCATTGTATAAATTACTTGACTTTACAAAGCATTTTGTAAGAATCAAACTAATTGAACATTTTGTTACTTGGCTGTGTTTGAATTTATATCGCCACCATCTATTTACAGGAGTACAAACTGTATAAGTACACATCTGTACCTCTCTTTTGTTAAAGATGCAGTTGCTGACCAGGGGAAAACAATCTTGTCTTCTCCATGAAATACTGTAATTGTTTTAGTTGATACTTCAACTTTAACATCCATTTTGTTGTTCACAATTCCAAACTTTCCAAAGTATGTATTTATTTTCTTGTTAACTTCTATTTTCTTCTCTCCAATCAATTCTCCATTTACTACAAAATCTGCATGAAAATGTCAAACATATTAATTGAGGCTAATTAATTGTCACAACAACAAATTAAAATTTCAAAAATCACTTTTTCATGAAGCCAATTGATGATTCCAAATAATCATTATTGTAAATAACCGGCAAGATTCTTTAGAGATCCCACAAGTAAAAGCATGAGGAAATAATGAAGAAATAAATTATCAAATAAATAATCCATAAGATTTGTATGAAGCAAAAATATACTCACGCTCTTCATAACATTAGAAACATGAAATAGAATTATCAATTTAAAAGGCTACCAGATCAGATCCTGATTCTGCCTGGCATTTATGGTCAAATTGGAAAAGCACTGTCATAAATCTAAGTTGTTATCTTGTGTAGTGATAACTATAAAAAGTTCTAATACTTCCTCATCTTTTCTCCTAAATTAAATGCTTTGCTTCAGATATTCCTTTTTAAGTCATGAATGTGGGCACATCAAACAATAGAATTCCGCAAAGGTCAGCTTTAATGTCACTATAATCTGTTAACTCAAAATGTTTCTGTTAAGTAGCTATTTTTTCTTTCCTTAAGACAACTTGCAACACAGTTTACACCTACCTGTGGATGGATCTGTGACCAGATTTAGAATTGCCCCTGGTTTTCCATCAATGTTGAAACAAATGGCATCACTGTGATCATTTATTGAAATGATAAAATGAGGATCACTGTCAACTTGAAAAGATGTCAAAGATTTAGAACATTTAAGTCATTGCCCCTTCTGTCATGAACTGAAAACTTATTACATATAATTCAAATTCACACGTTGTTACAACTGTAAAACAGTCTTGAATGAAAGCCAGGTAATTCTATTTGCATTTTCTGACGTCAGGGAGCCAGGATTTAAAATAATTATCCTGTAATAAATCTTATGATGTGCCAAATGGAAATTGGGCTCTAGTAGTGATCAGATTTTGGGCTTTAAAGGGATACAGTTTCATTTTGTAGTAAAATAAAACCAAGAAGACATTCAACATATAGCTTTTATCTCACAGGGGAAAGCATTACATGCAACTGAGTAAAAGTAAATATGTGAGTTGCCAAGAGATCTTTGGAAATGAGAATGCATTGTAATTATGGTAACAACAAAAAAGCTTTTACAACTATGTCTGAAGATCCTTAAGAGCACAAAAGAATACTGAAGTAAAACAACTGCAAATGCTGGAATTCTGAGACAAAGGTTTTTCTGGCAATTTCTGTTTTTGTTGCAAAAATGCACTGTACAGCAGCTTCAAACTTTATCCTATTATGATTATTTCCTGTAAATCAGAGCAGTACATGATACTTAAATTCCAGACTGTAAGGTGGAAGCAGTGAACAATATTTTTGAGGAAGTTACTGGATTAACAAACAAGATGAATCCAGGAAACCTTTTGTATCTGTTCCATTCAGAAAATTTTAAAGAAATTTCACAATAGATTACTTCACAAAATAGATTCTGGTGGTGACAGTAGGAATTTTAATTACTGTTTTATGAATTGGCTCAAATCTGACAGCCAAAATAGTTAATAAATCAAATTCAGTTGGGAATTATGCTACAAGTGGTGGCCCCTGCAATAGCCCTGAGTCCGTTACTATTCTCTGTCTTTATCAATGACCTTGATGGTGGTGATGGGAATGTTATTTGTATGCTTGCAGATAACAACAGAATCTGAAAAAGTGTTAAGACAGAAAAGTCACAATCAAAACAAAGGGAATTAATTTTGTGAAGAAATACAGACTGCTTAATGACAAAGACCATTTAATCTAAATAAGTGAAGTGACATGCATCTTGGTAGGGTCAACACAGTTTATACATAGACAAGCATACAAATAAGGAACTGGAATTGGTCATTCCAACACTGAGCCTGCTCTGCAGTTCAATAACATCATGGCTGATCTAACTTTGTTCAACTCCGCCTTCCCCAAAGAAATTGACTCAGTTGTTAGTAAAGAAACTAGCTACCTCTGTATCATTTGCAGGGAGCAATATAGGCTGAGCGAGAAAAATATGTTGCTGTTATGGAATAATTGAATCAGACAGCATGGAAACAGACCATTAAGTCCAACTAGTCCACATCAACCATGTTCACAAACTAAACTAGTCCCACCTGCCTATATTTGGCCCACATCTCTCCAAACCTTCACTATTCATGTACTTTTGTCGTAACTATACCTGCATCCACCATTTCCTCTGGCAGTTTATTCCACACACAGACCACTAGCTGTGTAAAAAAAGTTGCCTCTCATGTCCTCTCACCTTAAAAATATGACCCCTAGTTTTGAACTCCCCCACAATAGGGAAAAGAAACTTGTCATTCACCTTATCGATGCCCCTCATGATTTTATAAACCTCTATAAGGTCACCCACCCTCAACCTCCTATGCTCCACTGAAAAAGGTCCCAGCCTATTCAGCCTATTTTAGAACTTAAACCCTCCATTTCCAGCAACATACTGGCAAAGATTGGTCGTTTGGAGGATGAGAAGGGGGATTTAATAATGGGAAATTAAGAAATAGCCGAGGCATTGAACAGGTATTTTGTGTCGGTCTTCACAATGGAGGACACGAGTAACATGCCAGTAATTGATGACAAGGAGACTAACGTAGGTGAGGACCTAGACACGATCATTATCATGAAAGAGATAGTGTTGGACAAGCTAATGGAGCTAAAGGTAGACAAGTTTCCTGGCACTGATGGAATGCATCTCAGGGTACTAAAAGAGATAGCAGGAGAAATAGCAAATACTCTTGTGGTAATTTTCCAAAATTTTCTATACTCTGGGGCAGTTCCAGCAGATTGGAAAACAGCAAATGTAATACCACTGTTTAAAAAAAGGAGGTAGACAAAAGATGGGGAAATATAGGCCGATTAGCATAACTTCTGTAGTGGGGAAAAAACTTGAATCTATCATCAAGTAAGGAAAAGCAAGACATCTAGATAGAAATTGTCCCATTGGGCAGACTCAGCATGAGTTCATGAAGGGCAGGTCATGCTTAACTAATTTACTGGAATTCTATGAAGACGTTACAAGTGGGGTAGACAACGGGGACCCAGTAGATGTGATATATCTGGATTTCCAAAAGGCATTTGACAAGGTGCCGCACAAAGTGCTGCTGCATAAGATAAAGGAGCATGGTGTTACAGGCAATGTAGTAGCATGGATAGAGGAATGGTTAACTAACAGGAAGGAAAGAATGGGAATAAATGAGTGCTTTTCTCTTTGGAAATGAGTGACTAGTGGTGTGCCTCAGGGACCAGTGTTGGGACTGTAATTGTTTACAATTTACATAGATGATTTGGAGTTGGGGACCACATGTAGTGTTTCAAAGTTTGTGGATGACACTAAGATGAGTGGTAAGAGCAAAGTGTGTAGAAAACTCTGAAATTTTGCAGAGGGATATAGATAGTTTAAGTGAGTGGGCAAAGGTCTGGCAGATGGAGTACATTGTTGATAAATGTGAAGTCATCATTTTGGTAGGAATAACAGTAAAAAGGACTACTATTTGAATGGTAAAAGATTGCAGCATGCTGATGTGCAGAGGGACCTGGGTGTCCTTGTGCATGAATCACAGAAGGTTGGTTTTCAGGTACAACAGGTAATTAAGAAGGCAAATGGAATTTTGTCCTTCATTGCTAGAGGGCTTGAATTTAAAAGTGGGGAGGTTATGTTGCAGCTGTATGGGGTGCTGGTGAGGCCACACCTGGAGTCCTGCATTCAGTTTTGGTCTCCTTACTTGAGAAAGGATGTACTAGCACTGGAGGGGGTGCAGAGGAGATTCACTATGTTGATTCCGGAGTTGACAGGGTTGGCTTATGAGGAGAGACTGAGTAGACTGGGATTATATTCATTGGAATTTAGAAGAATGAAGGGGTGTCTTATAGAAACATATAAAATTATATAGATAAGAAGCAGAGAAGTTGTTTCCACTGGCGGGTGAAACTAGAACAAGAGGGCCTGGCCTCAAAATTAGGGGGAGCAGATTTAGGACTGAATTGAGGAGAAACTTTTTCACCCAAAGGATTGTGAATCTGTGGAATTCCTTGCCTAATGAAGTAGTTGAGGCTTCCTCGTTGAAATGTTCTTAAAGCTAAGATAGAACAGTAAAGGAATTGACGGTTATGGTGAGAGGGTGGGTAGGTGGAACTGAGGCCACGAAAAGATCAGCCATGATCTTATTCAATGGTGGAGTGGGCTTGAAGGGCCAGATGGCCTACTCCTGCTCCTGGTTCTTATGTTCTTATGTAAATTGTTTCTGAACATTCTTCAATTTAATAATATCCTTCCTATAACAGGGTAACCAGAAGTGCTCATAGTACTCCAGTAGAAGCCTCACCAATGTCCTGCACAACGTCAACATAATGTCCGAACTCAAAAGGTCTGAGCAATGAAGGCAAACACGCTAAATGCCTTTTTACCACCCTGTCTACCTGTGATGCAAATTTCAAAGAGTTGTGTACCGTAACCCATAGGTCTACTGTTATCATGACCATGATAGTTTATGAACATATTGAACTTTCATTTGCAACATGTATTTTTAAATATCCAAAGGGAGGTGGTGGTGTAGTGGTAATGTTACTGGACTAGCAATCTGGAACTCAGGCTAATAGTCTCGGGACATGGGTTTGAATTGCACCATAGCAGATGACTGAATTTGAATTCATGAAAAATTTGGAAAAGCAAGCTGGCCTAATGGTAACCATGTCTATTGTCATTAAAACCTAATGTCTTTGGTTAAGTAAATCTGTCACCCTTTCCTGGTATGGCCTGTATGTGACTCCAGACACATAATAATGTGGTTGACCAATAACTGCCCTCTGGGCAATTAGAGATGGAAAAAAGTGCTGGCCTGGCCACCAACACCCACATCCCATGAGTGACTATTTAAGAGATGGAAAAGCAGCTAAAGGATGATTGATAAACTCAGTGGATATCTGGAGGTGAACACTTGAAGTTATCAAGGAAGCTATCAATACACAACAAAGAGAATTGTCATTTCCTGTGAGTATTCCAGACTGTGAACATGATGGGAGAAAACAACAGTCTGGACAAGAGGCATGTTTATGTTTTCCCTTTCAAGAATGCGTAAGGACAGGAGTTAAAAGCCTGCTTATATTTGCTTGTAGGCCGATATGTCTATGTGTGCTAGTGGGCTAAGATATTCGTGTACTAGCCTGGGTTCGAATGTGTAAGTCAGTCAAAGAACCATCCAGTAGTCACCCAAGCCTTGCAAGTAAATGATTCTCTCGCTCTGTTGGAAAGAACCAGTCAGCAAGCTACTTCAAAAGGAAGTAGGACAAAAAAGACTTAAGCTAGACTGCACAGCTAAGAATCTTGAAATTGACTAACTACCTATGTTTCACTATTGAAAGAGTAAGAAAAATTTCAAGGAAAAGACCCACCATCCACAATTAACTAGAAATATTAAACACAACATCAACTTAAAAGGAAAAGCATATCATTGTGCAAAGATAGGTGGAAGGTCATATGACTGGATGAAATATTTTTTAAAAAGCAATGTATGGCCAAAAAATTAATAAGGGAAAAATTAGAGCATGAGAAAAGCTTGCCTAAGTATTAAAATAGATAGTAAAAATTTCTACAAATATTTAAGAAAGGAAAGAGTTGACAAATTGAGCATTGGTCCAAAGGAGGTGAGAATGGAATTAGAATTAATAATGGAAAATAAGGAAAC